CCTTATTGAGCATTCAGTGTTTGCATTCGTTAGTTTTTGCAAGGAGAAAGAAGAAAAAACCAGCATATTAGATTACTGAACTTAGTAAGAGATTAATACGAGTCATACCGTTTTGAAGAGAATCAGAGGATTAATCGAAAGGGAAAAAGAAAAAGGAAAAGCAACAAGTTGCGAACAACTAGTCCAAGAAGGAAGAAAAGGTCAAAATCAGTATGATACAGTTCTTGACAATTTTGGGATCGAAAAAACAAACAAAGATGAACTTTCTTGATTTTGTGTTTTAACGCTCCAATTCAGTGTACATAAAACAGATGCATTTGACACTCTTGCAAAGGAAAAATTATGAAATGTTCTTTATGCTTAGGGCAGAAGAATGAAAAGATGAAATTTTTTGTGAAAAAGGTATTTATTCTGAAACAATGTGATAGATGTGCCTATTGCTTAAGTTCTGAGTATCGACTTCTTCCGTCAATTCGGCAACAAATTCTGAGTTCAAACTTCACGCTTTTATTTCAGATGCTTCTTCTCATCGTCTTTCCCGTAGCGACGATGTCCGCCTGCTATGCGCGCGTCGCCATCATCGTTTATAGTTCGTCGAAGAGTAGACTCGTGCTTTCACAGGCGATGTACGTCAGCCCTATAAGTCATTTCGCTGCTCTTATGCAACAGATGGCTTTTAGGGTGGCCTTTAGTAAAGCGGCCACTGACGCTGTGCACTTCTCCGGCTACAGTACCATTCCAATGATTTCGACCAGTCGGGAACTGAAATCGGCAACCAGCACCATTAATGCTTATAAGCATAAAAGTGCTAGAGTAGCGGAAGCCAATAAGAAACAGGTAGGAAGTTTTCAAAACTCCTAAAAAGTATCTGATCAAAAAATTCTTATTTCAGATTGTACAAATCTAATATCGATTGTGGTCATGTATACGGTGTGCTGGTTGCCTACGATAAGTATGTTTAGCAAATCATTCTGTTACTATCTTCAATTCTTTCCATCTATCCGTATCAAAAATGGTAAAGCTTACCTAGTCTTATCAAAATCTGTTGAATGAATGAATCTACATCACATCTACACTCATTATAGAAAAGATGTTGCTCTTGATAATTCGCAAAAAACTGCCCAACTTCATGCGACCTTTTGATATATTGATACTAGAGTGTGGACCCCGGCCAGCTTCCCATAGGTACCCCCGCGG